CTTCCCAAGTGCAGCTGCTCTTGGGCCGGGGTCGCGTTGCCCGGCTCTCGCTAAGTGGGCCGTGCGCCCGGTCGCCCAGCCCCCAGTCGGCGTAGGGTAGGGTGGCCGGTCCAAGCCCCAGGGACCTGAGGCTCCAGCTAGGCAGCGACCTGGGACTTCCGCTCTTCCTTGTTCCTCCAGGGTGAGGAAGTGGTGCACCTGGAGATCGTCCTGAACCGACTTTGCCCCCCTCACACGCTCCCTCAGAGTTTTCCACTTTTTGCGTCGCTTTGAATTGTGCCAGTGGGAGGGCCCCTCCTCCTTGTCCCTGTCCTTTCCAGCCTCCAGCGTTGGCACTCTCTACCCCCGCGCGCTGCTAATCCAGCGCAGAGCCCCAGATGGGGAGGCACTGGAAGAGGAGCCTTAACCGCCACCCCGAATCTGGACAAGTCATCGCCCCGCCCCAACCCCGCGGCCTGGGCAGGTCTCCTTTGCAATATACTTCGACAATATAAAGTCATGACCAAGAAAGAAAACCAACTGAAGGATTGACAAGTGGAGGCCAACTACTCCGGAGCCAGAGGCGGACTGGCTGCATCCAGCGCCGGGGCCTGCTGCCAGAGAGTCACCCGGGAGGCTGGAACCTCTGCCTCAGCCCCACAGCATCAGGACACCCCTTCTTCCTTCAGCTCTGTTGGCTTGAAGCCTTGAAAAGCCCTCGCCGAAGTAAGCAACCGCCGGAAGGGATTTCAACCCAGGAGAAGCCGCCTCTAGTTCACCCGAGGGCCCAGGAGAGCAAGCGGTTTTCTTCCTCTGCGTAAGAAGTAACCAGAGCTGCGTGCAGAATGGTCTGGCGTCCTCGGATGGCCGCCCAGGCCCCTTGGCAGCTCCTAGAACCCAGAGTCAGCTGAGGTTGGCACGAGCTGACAGCCCTTTGGCAAAGCATCTTCTCTTTAGGATTTGGAGAGGCAAGAAGAAAACGAAACAAAGCAAAGTGCAAAAACAATAATGCCCAGTTGAAAATTTCACAGGCAAAAACCGTAATTTAAGAAGGGGAAAAGTTAACAGAACAGATGAGCCAAAAACTACATGCTAAATAGAAGATCAAAGATTGAAAAAGTGGGCTAGAATAATTGATAACCACATCCTTCTCCCAGAGAGTAGAGAGAAGTCAGTGATTAATTTTTTAAAATACTTTTCAATAAGAATCAGCAGGCCACCCCTCTCCAAAGTTCTTGGTGTTCTAGTATAAGCCGACAGCAATTTTCTGAATAAAATTCCTCCAGAGGCACGACTCCAGAGGAAGATAGGAGAGCCTGGCCCAGACCAAATCCTTCACCCCTAGTTATCAAGTGTCTTCTGTAGGCAGACTCCAAAGAGATGGGTCCTTACCAGGAGTTTAATTCTAGACTGACTACAGGCATCAGAAGTGCTGGTGAGTTAGTTTCTCAGGCTCTAGTCAAGGAGTCAGCCTCCCACTGGAGCCTTGGGTAGAGGAATTTGCACTGACATCCAGGCTTGCTGTTTGTAAGGCCAACAAATGGGAAGTAAACATTTGATGGTTCAGAGGGGCGACAAACATTTCTTTGAAATGGTCCTGAAAACTGGGACTGGGCCATATGTTGCATCCCTACTACTCACAAACAGAACTAAAGAATTAATACGGAACTGATGAAAGGTTTTCAGAGAAGCTTGTGTGACCTGCATTTGAAGGGATGGCCTTATGCTCTTTGTCTTTTCTAAGCCTGGTGGAGTCACCTGGCAAGCTCTAGCCCAGCCAGCATAAGAAGGATTGCGCTTGCTCACTCATCTCCCAGGCTTCTCTCCTGACATTCATAAAATAAACATACTGAAACCTTTGTTTCCACACTGAAAATACTGCCAGCAACAAGTATCCAGTCAAGTCTTGTTTCCCTTTTTCTTACCTATGTATATGTATGTAATTTTCTGCCGGTGATTGACACTATTTTTTTTTCTTTAAATTCCCTGCAGCTACTGAAAATCTAAGCAGCTAACAATAAGTCCTCCCCTCAATTGCACACGTTGACCTCCCAATTTTCAAGGGACTCCTACTTGGACTCTTAATTCCTTCATTCCCCATGGTGCATCTAATGGGTGCCAGGCTTTGTGCTGTGAATTGGAAGGGGGAAGGAAGGAGAGGGACAAAATGACAAAAAGCAATCCCAGCCTTCCAGTAGTGGACAATCTCTCTAGCACCCCTCCTCCCCCACACATGCACACTCACCTGAACCAGGCCTGGAAGAGCATCCTTCCTACTCATCACACATACTTAGTAAGAGGAAAGTGTTCTGAGATGTCAAGTAAGAATATAGTAATATGTTTCTGACTGAGAAATCACTGCAATTCCATCAATTATGGGGGAACACAATGGTTAAATAAATGGTGTGAATAGCCAAGAAGATAAGGAGATTTGCAAACCAAAGCACACACAATTTTTTAAATGTTTTAGAAAAAAAAGTCAAAAGAAACATTAAACTGAGCAAACCCCACACATGCTTTTCCAGAGCTTTCCTTTGGCTCCTCCTTTAGGGAGTAACCAGGCCCCCTTTTCATAAAGCCCCTTGGGAGCGGGGGAAGCTGAGCTCACCTGATCCCAGCCTTCTTCAGGTGGACTCCAGGGGCTCATCCAAGGGCCTCACATGAAGGAGGGTTTCCAAGATCAAATTCCTAATTAGCTACACAAAGAGAAAACCATGAACAATTTGCGCACTTGGTGGTATTTACTGCTGTCTTTCTTTTAACAAACTGCCTTTTGGGAAGAGAGTTGTCATAAGGGCAAATCAATCATTTCATCAGGATTAAAATATTGGGAGTGGGGGACAACAGTTTAGCTCAAAGGCTGTCCACTGCTTTAACCCATTGTTTGGTCTCATAGCAGAGCCCCATGCTCTATGCTGCAGGAAAAGAGAACAGAAACAATAAGGAACCACCAAGGATGCAGCTTCCTGCCAACATATTGTGATCTACTAGGCAGAAAACATATGTCTTATGCGTGTGTGTGTGTGTAGGTGAATAAGTAGCTATAGATATAAGTTTAAATAGAATAATTGTGTTTTCTGAGTTCCTTTATGTGAATATGTATTTTTCCCAAAGACCTTTTCTTCTGTGGCGGTCCTAAATTCCTAAATGTTTATTATGCAAGTAGACCTGAAATCCATTGAGAGGGACTCCCACTTCCAGGGCCTCCGTTCACATTGTTTGCACAGTATGGAAGTGTCTCAGGTGATAAAACCAGCCAGCTTAGCCAGTTCAAGACAAGGCCACTTTCAAGGAAGTGAGGTTGACCGTACCCACTGACCTGTACCCTCTGTACCTTACCTGCCTGGATCATGATGTTGCCCTCAAGGTGGCAGGGACATGGGCAAAGAGGTGAGCCTGCTCATGCCTCAGCTGATGGGGACTTCTCCCCAGCGTTTGGCCAGCCAAGCTTTTGCCTTGGGAACCCAACCACGACTATTACCACTATCACAGTCCCGGCCTCTCTGAGGGTCTAGGAACGTTTGCGTGGAAACACCGCTGGTGAGCTGCAGCCTGGTGCCCCAGCAAACAAACCTACAGTCTGAGTTTGGCCCAGAACAGGCTGCACACTCTTGGTCCATATTTGGGCCCAGATACCCAGGCTCTGAGAGGCTGTTTCCATTGTGACCACCACTTGCCCGGGGCTGAGGTTCATGGATGACCCTGCCGTAACTGCCACGGGCCGGACAATGGGCACATCTGTCCTTTCTGCCGAGGCATGAAAGCACCTAAGCGGACACGGCTCTGCCTTTTGTTACGGATTTTTTTTTCTTTTGTAAATGGAAGAAAGCCGCGGCATGTGGTGGCCGGGTGTACGTCCCACACTGGGGGCCTCCCCACGCGTACCCACCAGGCCCAAGGACAAGGTTCGGTTCCGGATTGGAGCGTGACTGTGGGAAGGGCGCAATTACTCCCGAAGCTGAATTGATTTTCAAATTCAGAAGCTTCTCTCGGGGACGCCGGGAAAAGAGCGTCCCTACGGACCAAGCGGAGACTCGCGCGCCCGCGTCCACCCTGACTGCGTCAGTACTTCTCGAAAGAAGCCGCCTCTGGGTGCTTTACCTGGAGGGCCTTGGAGCCACCGCAGGAACCGCTCTAGCCTCGCGGCCCCACCAGCACCCGGAAGTTAACATGGGTACCCACCAGGGCACTCCCTCGCCTCTTCTCAACCCCCACAGATCGAGTCATTGGCGAAGCGGACGCGCAGCCTTAATTATCAGCTGAACAGGAGAAGGACCCAGGCGGCGGGGGACAGCGAGGTATGGCCAGGACTGGGACTCTTGGCACAGAGTGCTCCACTGCCCAAGGCATGGATGAGAAAGGGTGGGCAGATGAGTTAGTATTTGGGAGGACGAAGGGTGCCGAGTCAACAGCCGCCAAGCTGACACAGGCCTTTAGGCTATTTGCGTCGCCCCCGCCCCCACCACGGGCCGAGCATTTTAAAGGCAGCGAAAGCGCGTACTCCTAGCAGCCCTCCGGGAAATTAGGCTCAGTGGGCCAGAGCGGAAGGGGGAATGACACAGTCCCCAGCTCCCCGGGCAACCTGCACCGGGAAGCAGCTACCGGAGAGAGACGGACGATGGCTCTCCAAGCATAGCGGGCTGTGATATGAGCCCGGAAGGAGAATCCCGGAGCTGGGAAGAGAGAGTCCACCCAAGCAAGGGAGGCAAGCGGGGCGCGAGTCTCCTGGGATTGCGGTTGTGGGCCCAGGTTGCGCTCTGTGCCAGTCCTTCGCACGTGCCCGCAGCTACCCGGCCATCCGGCGCCGCGGGGAAGGCGCAGGACCCCCTCCTTCATTTGTACGGGGACGTCACGGGCCAGGCGCGCGGGGACCGAGGGGGAGGGGCCGGACTGCGCGCATGCGCGCTGCGCCCGGCGAGCGTGAGGGCGGGCCGCGGCGGCAGCGGCGGTGACCGAAACCCGGCCACAGAGTCTGCAACAGTAACCGAGCCATGGCTCAAGCTGGCGAGTGGCGCTGGCAGGCAGCAGCCGCGGCAGGCGCGCGGGCCGCGTCAGGGGAGCCGAGGGCCTCACAATTCTAAGGAGAGGGGCGAGAGGGGGCCGGGGACGGGAGGGCTGGGGGCACCGCGCTCTCCCAACGGCGCGGATCCTTTTTGGAAATTAATATTTAAAAAAAAAAAAAAAGCCGAGGACGCAGAGGGGAAGGTAGGGGCAAGTGGGAAGGCGAGACACACACACAGAAAGAGAGAGAGACAGAGACAGAGACAGAGCCCCACAGTGAGAGGAAGGAAGGAAGGAAGGCAACAGTCGCCGGCAGCCAATGTGAAGACAGGACTCCGTGCGCCCCTCGCCGCCTCTGCCCGGCCACATCGATGTTGTGTCCGCCGCCCGCTCGCCCGGATCACGATGAACGCGCAGCTGACCATGGAGGCGATCGGCGAGCTGCACGGGGTGAGCCATGAGCCGGTGCCCGCCCCTGCCGACCTGCTGGGCGGCAGCCCCCACGCGCGCAGTTCCGTGGCGCACCGCGGCAGCCACCTGCCCCCGGCGCACCCGCGCTCCATGGGCATGGCGTCCCTGCTGGACGGCAGCAGCGGCGGCGGCGATTACCACCACCACCACCGGGCCCCCGAGCACAGCCTGGCCGGCCCCCTGCACCCCACTATGACCATGGCCTGCGAGACTCCCCCAGGTATGAGCATGCCCACCACCTACACCACCTTAACCCCTCTGCAGCCGCTGCCGCCCATCTCCACAGTCTCGGACAAGTTTCCCCACCATCACCACCACCACCATCACCACCACCACCCGCACCACCACCAGCGCCTGGCGGGCAATGTGAGCGGTAGCTTCACGCTCATGCGGGATGAGCGCGGGCTGGCCTCCATGAATAACCTCTATACCCCCTACCACAAGGACGTGGCCGGCATGGGCCAGAGCCTCTCGCCCCTCTCCAGCTCCGGTCTGGGCAGCATCCACAACTCCCAGCAAGGGCTCCCCCACTATGCCCACCCGGGTGCCGCCATGCCCACCGACAAGATGCTCACCCCCAACGGCTTTGAAGCCCACCATTCGGCCATGCTCAGCCGCCACGGGGAACAGCACCTGACGCCCACTTCGGCCGGCATGGTGCCCATTAACGGCCTTCCTCCGCACCACCCCCATGCCCACCTGAACGCTCAGGGCCACGGGCAGCTCCTGAGCACAGCCCGGGAGCCCAACCCTTCGGTGACCGGCGCGCAGGTCAGCAATGGAAGTAATTCAGGGCAGATGGAAGAGATCAATACCAAAGAGGTGGCGCAGCGTATCACCACCGAGCTCAAACGCTACAGCATCCCACAGGCCATCTTCGCGCAGAGGGTGCTCTGCCGCTCCCAGGGGACCCTCTCGGACCTGCTGCGCAACCCCAAACCCTGGAGCAAACTCAAATCTGGCCGGGAAACCTTCCGGAGGATGTGGAAGTGGCTGCAGGAGCCGGAGTTCCAGCGCATGTCAGCGCTCCGCTTAGCAGGTGAGCCGGCCAAGGAGCTGGGCGCGAGGGGAGATAAGGGACGCGGAAGCCGAAGGGACCTAAAGAGAAGGGGTTGGGCTCGCTTCACCTCGCCCTCCTTCCCCAAGGTAGGGGGGAGGGGGTCCCTGTGCTTAGAAGGGCCAGCACGAGACTCGGGGAGCAGATCGCTTTCTCCACGGCTCAGTGCATTGGGCTGTGGAAGGCTCAAAGAGCTAAGCGGCGCGGCCGCGGCGACTGCGGGGCGCATTTGTGCTGGGGACGGCTCTGGAAGCTCGTGCAGCTGGAGGCTGAGAGAAATCCCGCACCTGGCGAGACACGGTCTGTGCACCACTTCTCAATTGAGCACCCTAGGTTTGGGAAGAGGGAGGCGATGTGTGCGTGGAACTGTGTGCAGCTGGAACCAGTGCCTCTGGCACAAACCCGTCGCTGGGCTGGAGCGTGCCGGACCTGCGGCACTGTTTGGCTGAACTGGCCGCGGTGACCCCCTCCCACGCTCATTCTATTGGCGCTGGATAGGCTTGGGGAATCGCGATCTAAGAGTGCGGGCGAAAAGTTCCGAAACCGCTGGGCAGTGGGTATGTGGTGCAGAAGAGGTGTAAGTGTTAGCGCGCATTTTGGGCAAGGAACGGGCTGCGGAGAGCGAGGCAGACAGTGCTGAGGTCCAGGTGGGAGCAGCAGAGCATTGGCCGAGCCCAAGGTATACCTTCGCTGCCGACTCTCTCAGGACATCGCGTTTCGTTTTATTATTCCTCTAAGTGATTTTCGCCTGAATCCCTGTGCAGGCAGGTGGGAGTGTGTAAATGACCCCCAAGTCTGCGAGCAGAGATTTCCCGGGCCTGAAACCCTGAGCCGTGGGTGTTTCCGAGTGGAGCCGGAAGGTCTCCGCGGCGCTGCTCAAGCACCACGCCTGGCTGCCCCAGACGACCGATAGGCCAGGGGGACAGCTGAGCCCAGCACGACCCCCATTCGGGATTTCAGGCGAATTCGGCCACCCCTGAGGGCGGAGGACGTGCGGGGAGGTAGAGCTCAGGACAGCGGAGGGCGGACTGGACTTGAAGAGACCCGCGTGGCGGTTGCCAAGTCGATTGACTACTGGTTCGGTGCCTTCCCCAACCCCCATCTCAGCCCGACGCCCAGGCCTGAGCCTTAGCGAAGAGAAAAGGTAAAAGCCGGAATGAGGGTTTGTTAATTAACTCATCGTTCTCCATTAATTCGTCCCTGGAGAACGCGAGACAGTCAATCCGCTCTGAGCCGGGGGCACTGAGCCGTTTCACAGACTAAAATCAAAGCGTGAGGCCGAGGCCCCCTCCCCCACCTCGTGCCTGCCAATGAGAAGCCGGGGGGTGGCAGGTGCGGGCGAGCCTTCGATTCGAGCCCCGAAGCGACCCAAAGCGTTCCCTGGGTCTGGGTGCTCGAGGCCTCCGGTCCCGAGCGCTTAGTCTCTGCCCTGCCGGCTTTTCCCGCCCGGCCCGCGCGCGTTCGCCCCAAGCAAAGTGCTCACGCAGGGTCCCGCCGCCCGAGCCCGGGAGCCAGGCGAGGCGCGGGTAGGAGGACTGGAGAGGGAGGGGTGACGCTGACTGCGTGACCCCGCAAATCCCAGGTTCCCGCGTTTCCACCGCCCTGTGCCGCCGGTACCATATCGCCCCCCGTGGGCCGGCCGAGACCCTGCGGGCAGCCGAGGTGCCAGAGGGGGTGGGCAAGGGGGCTGCTGTTCGCCCTGACTGCGCGGCGTCTGCGGATGCCCAAGGTAGTGCCTTTTCACACTCTCACGTCGGCCCAGAGCCCGGCTTCAGGGCCATTTACCCATGCAGCGACCGCGGAGTCCAGCGAGTGGGGCGGCGGAACGTGGGGACAAGGTGGAAACGCAGAAGGGTACCCCTCACGGAAAGCTCGGCTCCCCCCACACACACCCCCTGTGAAGGCCCCTGCTCCGGACTTCAGTGACCCTCCTCCCTCCGCTTTCTCCTGTCGCCTCCTGGAAGGACAGACTGACTGACGCGTTTTGTGAAGAGACGACCCCGAAGGTTTGGAAACCTAGCCGCGCAAACTCCCTTTGACCTCCGAGCGTGGAGAGCGGAACTCCGGGACACCACCGTGGTGCGGGAGGGAGCCTAAGTGCTGGGACCCGCACTCTGGAGGCGCGGGCCGGGTGCCGGAAGGTGCTCATGGGACCCAGGAGGTCACCGAAGAGGCTCTGCCTGGGCACCCAGCAGCCTGTGGAGAGCTCCGCAGCCCTCGGCCCCCAGAGCGTGCTTTCCCTCGAAAAGGTGGAAAATCGGAGATCAGCAGGAGAGGAGTTTGGTGCCAAATACCGAGAGAACCCCGCGTCCTGAGACCCGGATGAAGCATGTCACTTCCATTTTTGTTTCAACTTAAAGGAGTGGTAGGGAGGGCTGCGGCCCGGGCTCTGCTGGTCCAGGAGGGCCTTCTGCAAGGAACTCAGAGCAATCCCATTAAGCCGCAAAAGCTGAAACCTATTTTTAACTCACTGAAGAACAACGACACGTCTCGTTAACATTTTCATTTAAAGACAGGAAAGTGGAGTCGTTTTCTGAACCCTCCAAAGCCCTGAGTGCAGCCCTGAGTGCAAGCCCAGAGTGCAGGAGCCTTAAAACAGATTGCAGGGCGCCTTGGCCGGCTGGGGGACGTTAGTGCCTGCCCCTCACCGCCGGCTCCCACGTGCGGAGGTGCCACTTGCAGCTTTGCTCGCCGTTGCGCTCAAAGACACTCCCCCAATCTCGTCCCAACCACCGTGCTTGGCCAGGGCCCCCTGAGCTCAGTTCCTTAGCTCCGTAGTGGGAAGGTGGCTTCTCCATGCCCCTCTCGGTGCCCCAAGTCCTGCTCAGCCTGTTGCAGAGGGTCAAAACCCTCCGCACGTGGCAGTGTGTTTGGGGAGGCGCCTCCCGGTCACGAAATTACAGCGGCTGGTGGAGGACTGACGACAGGAGGAAATTCTCACCAAATTAACTACCTGTAAAAAATCAATATATGTTCCCTCAATGTAATACTTGCTGCTGCCCCATTAAAACGCAGCACGACAGGGTTCTCGCCACGTGTCGTCCCGAGTGGGGTGGGCTGATGGGTCGGTGCCGCGCCTCTGACGTGGGCACCTTTCAAGATGGGAGGAGATTAGTTACCAATTAAAGATTCCAGAAGGCTTCGGCCACACCTCAGGAGCTGCCAGCGCGGGAAGAGGCTGCGACACACACCCACCAGTGGGCACAATATCGCAGACCCTAGCGGCAGCGGCGCGCAGGCCCGAGGTTTGGGTGGGGGGGATGCTGGGCCACTCTGACTCTGCTGGCTTTGGAGACAGGGAAACCTTCAAACGCGGGGGAGTGGGCCTGGCCACCAGCACCCAGGACTGCACGCTCTTCCTGTCCTGTATTTGCCCCAGAATGACCTGGGGGAGGACCTGACCGCGGGAGGGGGCGGGTTCGGTCAGGAGGCTGCCATGAGAAAGTCTCACCCGACCCAACCTGGGCCATGTTTGCCCTGAGTGGCCTTGCGGCCTGGTTGATTGATAACTGGCCCCCACACAAGTCCATTTACTTTTTTGTTAATATTTATCCCAGGGGGTGACATTTCTACTGTCCCCTCGCTTCTCTGGGCCGCAGGAGCCAGGCAGGAGTGCCATGCCAGGCCCTAGAAACGCAGTTCTATCTTCTAAGACTCCTGGGCAGGGAGGGAAGCCAGGGCTGGGCGTGTGGGACTCGGGAGCTGGAAGGGTTTCTGGGCCCAAGAGTGGGGGGAGAAGGCGTCAAGCTCAGTGGTTTCCTCGCGCTTCGCGTCTTGGCGCCCCGGGTCTCCGGCAGCGCAGCTGCTCGCAGCCGTCTGCAGCGCGAACAAAGGGCCGGCGGGGCGCGACCGACCGTGTCACCTCCAAGCCCAGGGGCAAGGGGGGCTGCTCGCGGGAAGCGCCTTCTCCGAAGGCTTTGCATGGCCTCCTCCCAGCGTGGTGGGGGACAGCCGGTCGTCAGGCGGAAACTGAGGAGTTGCAGAGCCCGCCCAGGGCGAAGGGTGGCAGTGCGTCAGTGTAGTCGATTGGGGACCCTCACACACTCACCAGGTGATTTCAAAACCAAAAGATCTCGCTCTCGGACACAGTCACCAGAAGGCTCTTCATGACGCCTTTCCCACAGCCTGTCTCTGTCCCCTCGAGGGTGTGGGACAATAGTTTCCTCTGTGCAGTCCCCATTAGCGACCACAACCTTAGCAAGGAGACGAAGGTGCGCAAGGGATTAAGAAGTGTGCATGTGGCTAAGACTGGAGCCGCTAGTATGAGTATGGCTGGGATGGGGGACACCTGCTTTTGGGGCTTGAGGAGTCCTGATGGCTATTGTGTGGCGACGTTGGTGTCAGCGCAGCGAGGACGCCTGCCAGAGACAAAATAAACCCAACGGCCTCTTCAGAGGGTGTGTGGCTATTCCGCCAGCGGGTGCGGCCCGGTTCGCCTTGGAAGCATCCGGAGAGCGATCCCTGCAGCTGGAGCGACCCGCCGGGCACAGGGCATTGTGGTCACTAGAGACCCGGCCCCGCCCTCTCCGCTTGCAAATGACATTTGGGACGGACAGTGCCAACAATAGCACAGTCGTATTGTAGCAGCTAAGCGACCCAGAGCCCAGGGTGCGTCTTTCTTTATCTTGAAGCTTCGAGCCCTCTGCGCTTTCTCACTCTCTCCATTTGGGCTCCTCTTCTTAGAGCACCCGGCCCCGCTGTGCTGCGGGAGCCGCGAGCGCCCCCTGCGGGCCTCTGCGGCCAGGCGCGGAGCGGGCGTCCGTGATTCACCCCGCTGCGGAAACAGATGCTCACAGCGTCTTTGTATTTAGAATATCATTGTCCTAGTGATTTTCAAAACAATAACTATTTTTGATAGAAGAAGGTGTGAAGGAGGAAGAGAAGGATATCTAGTGGCTCTATCGAGGCCCCCAACAATGACAAAATTGCCATCCGCCAAAGTACACCCCCCAACTCTAACCTCCCCAAACAAGATGAGTGTT